GCCGCACCCCCATCTCCTACCTACTAACCTCATCCCGCCCCCTTGATCAGTCCATCCTCCCTGGACTGACCTATCCCCTCCCTAACTCCCCACCTACACTCACCTTTACTGGCTCCATCCCCGCCTCTTTGACCTGTCTGTTTCCTCTCCACGTATCTTCTCCTCTATCCCTCTTCTATCCGCCTCCCCCTCTCTCCCTATTTATTTCAGAACCCCCTTCCTCTCCCCCATTTCTGATGAAGGGTCTCGGCCCGAAACGTCAGCCTTTCTGCTCCTATGATGCTGCTTGGCCTGCTGTGTTCATCCAGCTCTACACCTTGTTATCTCAGATTCTCCAGCATCTGCAGTTCCTACTATCTCTCATAGCCAGAGGAGGTGGTTTATGATCAGCGAGTTTATAATATAATATCCAATTATATGCTTATGAGAAATTTGTTCACTGAAAATTTCCGTGTAACACTGGTCTTACAAATGACATATAATCGGGATCAGTGGGCTTCCCCAGCTCAGGGATAGCTGTGAAATGTGCTCCAAACCAATCTCCTACTATTACATACAGTAAAATGGAAAAACTTGCAGATGCTAAAAATTGAGATGCAATTTATGGCAAATTGAGAGAAAACCTTGAAACAATGGATTTTTTCACAAACATCCCACATTGCCAAGGCATTTGTTAAAATTATGCCTAATATATCCATCAGCAGCCCATTTCCATGAACCAGCAACACAAAATCAGAAACTCTCCGCAAAAAACAGTGATAAAACTCTGTTCAAAACAGTCCACTCACAGTGATAACCACTGCACTCAAAGAAAAGGTTCATTAAAGTCCTTTCAGGAAGGAAATCTGCTGTCCCCAAGTCTAGCCTAAACGTGACTCCAGACCCACAGCAATGTGGTTTAGATAATAAATGCTTGCCCAGCCAAAGATCCCGACATTCAATGAACAAATCCCTAAAAATAAAAAACACTTCTCTTAATTCATGTGTAGTTCTCCCACTCACAAGAGGATGTAAGGCTGAATTTTAGGACACAGATCTTCAGAACAAGAGTAGACCATTCAGAATCGTGAAACTTTCCCATCATTCAATTTACAGCTGTTCGACACTCAATTCCATTTACTCATCTTTTAGCCACAACTCTCAATAACATCACCTAGCCTGCCAATCTCTATCAACATCCAGTCTTCAGAGCCCTTCTGGGAGGAGAGTACTAGGTTTATACTGATTTCAACTTTTGTCAGAAGTGTGCCCCAATTTCATCGCTCAACAGTTTATTCCAATTTCAAAATATTCAAGAATTAGGCAAAATATTGCCTCAACATTTGAAGCAGGCATTCTCGTGAAAATATATGGGATGATTATTTCTGCTGCCCTGTAAGTATATGTTTGCCTAAGGCTGACGCAAGCATTAGTGAATGACATTCAGTGTGCACTTCCCAACTCAAATAGCAATCAGCATTAAAAATCTTATATTTATCATGTGCTTTTACGTTGGTTAATATTTGATTTGCAATGGATGATAAACACACAACCAGAGGCCTGTATACTTTACCGAGCTGGTAGCTGTCAAAATACTTGGATTAAACTGAAACATCTTCAGATTAATGCGCAGCTGCACTAACATTAACTCAGTTCCCCTTTCACTTCATCCCTTCTACAGAATAGTCATATCGACCCATCCTGTACCCTTTCCCCAAAATCACATCTAATATCCCTCAAATCTATTTATAGCCTTTGCAATGGACATTGTTGGGGATTTACTTCAACGATCCATTTGTTGCTAAGTGTCATAGGTAAACCACAGTCTGCCACACTTTCCAACCACAACAGCTGCAGCTGACACCACAGTTCTGGTTAAGCCAGGTTTTGTTGTCTTACTGCTTCCTTCACCATTGGCCACTCATTACATTTCTATTTGTCATTCCATTGTAATGTTTCTGTATGGATAATGTTTAATGAATTCCACGCCTTCTTTTGATACAATTTTAGTTCTCTTGGTTAGGGCAGCACTTGTGCCCTCGTTTATGGTGGCTCAGTGGTTAGCCTCACAGTGCTAGGGACCCGGGTTTGATTCCAGCCTTGCATGACTGTGTGGAGTTTGCATGCTCTCCCTGTGTCTGCGTGGGTTTCTGCTGGGTGCTCCAGTTTCCTCCTACAGGCAAAAGATTTGCACATAGTGGATTGGCTACACTAAAAAAAAATTGCCCTGTGGTGTCCAGTTAAATTAGCCACAGTAAATGTGGGGTAATGGGAATAGGGGTCTGAGTTGGATGCTGTTTGGAGGGCCAGTGCAGTCTTGATGGGCTAAGTTACCTCTCTCTGCACTGTAGCTATTCTACTTGACTGTTAATCCAGTCTCATTTAGTGCTCCTCCAGTAGTTTTTGGTTCCACATAGCTTACCTTCACAAGTTTCCTTGTGCACCACATTTAAAAGCTGATTTTCTTTAGTTTTCTGAATGCGCCAAGCTTCACATTCATAATTTGTTACTGTGCAGAACATGTTTCAGTACACATATTCTTATGTCAAGATTCACATTGACGTTTCTTAGAACGTTGGCCTAATTTTGTAAATACAATTTTGACTTGTCCACTCATTTCAAAGAAGTAGGACATTTGACTGATCTTACAATCCTCAAACCCACTCTCCCGCCCTTTCCTCATAACCCTCAAGTCACTTACTAATTAAAAACCTATCCCAAGCTTGAATATACTTAATGGCCCAGACTCAACAGCCCTCTGTGGTAAATAATTCTACTGTTTCACAACCCTCAGAAGACAAATTCCTCCTCTTTGCTTTCTTAAATTGATTTTATACATCTCAATCACGTTTCCCCTCAGTCTCCTCTGCTTCAAGGAAAACAACCACAGTCTATCCAATCTTTCTTCATGACTGAAAATCTGCAGCCCAGGCAAAATGTTGGTAAATCTCCTCTGCACCCTCTCCAATCAGATCCTCCCTATGAGGTGCATTTCAGAACTGCACATTTTATTCTAGCTGTGGCCTAACTAATGTTTAATACAGATCCAGAAAACATCCCTGTTTTTAAACTCTACACCTTGACCAGTAAAGGGAAGTATCCCATATGCCTTCTTTACTACTTTGTCTACCTGCCCTGCAACCTTAAGGGTGGACATTCACCTGGTGGACACCTCTGACTCTCTCTCCAATTCAATAACGTCCAGTTCCTTTATTCTTCCTGCAAAGTGCAAAACCTCACATTTCCCCACATTGCATTCCATCTGCCAAGGCTTTGCCCACATACTTACCCTGTCTATATCCCTCTGCAGACTATTTGTCATCCTTTCTTTAACATTTGAGGATGAGACCCATCAAGTTCAGGGAGCCTGTTTTCCTTATATTTTATCTTTAGTGATAGTGATTGACTTTATATCCCACCCAAACCTGATTTCTGCCCCTTGCTTATTAAATATTTTTGAAGTGCTTGTGTCTTCTATCCTTACAGTTTTTAACATCAAATGTTGTGCCTTAAAAGAACAAAACATAGACAATAAGAACAGCAGTAGGCCATTCAGCCTTCTCCATCATTCAGTATGATCATGGCTGATCATCCTATTCAGTTCCCTGTTCCAACTTCTTGAAAATATCCAATAATTTGGCCTTGGCCACTTTCTATGGCAGACAATTCCACAGGCTCATATGGTATGTCCTTAGACTGTGATCTCTGGCTTAGGACTCCCTGGTCATCAAGAACATTTACCCTGTCTAGGTTCTATTAGAATTTTATAGATTTCTATGGGATCTCCCCACCACCGTCACCCTGGGAATATAGTTTCCTAAAAAGTTGAATTGATTGACCTGTTCTAACTAGGTTCCATTTATAGTTATATCACATAGTGGAATTGCCTTTTTTCTGTCATCACAGTAGCATATCTTTGCTTTGAACATAAGCCCATATACCTACCGCTTTCTTTTATGACTGTATCAAGTAATTTTTGCAAGTATTCATGATGGTACCATTGGCATAGTGACTTTTGCTTTTACTTATTCATGGGGTGTGTGTGTCACTGAGCAGGCCAGCATTTAGTGCCCAGACAGCAGTTAAGTGTCAACCACATTGGCGTATGGTCTGGAGTCATGTGTAGGCCAGTCCAGGTAATGACAACAGTTTCTTTCCCTAAAGGACATTAGTGAATCAGATGGGTTTTTCCAACAGTCAGCGATGGTTTCATGCTTTAATTCCAGATTTTCTTTATTGAATTCTGCTTTGGCAGAATTGAAACCAAGATGCCCAGAACATTACCTCTGGATTAATGGTCTAGTGAGAATACCAATAGGCCATCACACCACATCCCCCCCTCAAATTGTTGATGGCTGTCTCTCCTACATTTGTACCATCCACCCCGTCAATTCATTCAAGAATACTTTCAGTGCAGATAGAAAAACAGATGGGTGAGAGATCACAGCCTTGTCCATGCACTCTCTTAATCCACTTTCCGATCAGAGTTCCTTTTCATATCTGAAACCAGTAAATACTCCGAAAGAATCAAAGATCTTTCTCATTAAAATCATAACTCTCCCAGCTTCAGCTGACCTTATTTTTAAGCTAGTCTCCTTAGGCATGTTGACCATCGAGAACAAAGTTCTCGTTTACATTTTCATAAGCTTGAAGCTTCAGTCAAACTGTAAACTTCCCACCTTACAATGGATTTAAACCCAACTTTCCTAATCCTTCTGAGTAAGGTAAATCCCTGATGCTTAGATCATCTTTTCAAGGTGCCTCCACAACATCTAGAGGATAATACCATCTTTATACAATCAAGTACTCTACAGATATGGTCTATCCCACTTTATATAATCAATACTTGGTGTGAAAACCCCAGAGAAATGGACTGAACTAAAGCTTAAACTGTGTTAAGTCGTCGTAGTTAATAGATTCTCAAAATGTCTCAGATGGAGGATCAGTATCTTCAAAAAGGTTAATTTGTCAAAAACAGTTCAATAAAAAAGGTGTCAAAACTTAGAGGCCACAAGCATACATATTTTTAAAATATTTTATTGCCTTAACCCAGACGGCTATCAATAAAAAATTACATTCCCAGTATGTTAAAGCATGATTTACCATTTAACATTGCAACCATCCAAACTCAAAATTTGTACTGCATAAACAACAGTCTCAAAAAGAGCAGTGTTTTGCAGTTCTTATTCCTTGCACAGATCCCAAATCAATAATGCTTTTCAAAATGCATTTAAAGTCATGTTATATCTTTACAGACTTTTCTTTTGCCCAGGATTAAACATGTACTTTATCACTGTAGGTACACAATTTCACAGTTATGTCTATGATATTTCCACAGATGGAGGCAGTCTTTATAGAGGTTTTGTACATCATTGGCAACATTGCAGTGTGTTGAATGCACCAGAGAATTAGCTAGACTGATTTAGCAGGTTAATGGCATATTTTTAGCTCTGGCAGTAAACAAACCTATCGTCTAGGGTGTTAACTTATTCTCTTTTTGCAGTTTTAAGTGTCTTTTTGAACAGATTCATTACTTGTCAGACCTAAACAAAATTTTCAATGAACAACAATCAATCATCATACCTACAGACAGGCCAAGATTAAATTAATCTGTAAAAAATATCCAGCAAAACTTGTATTTCACCACAGGAGACATCATTAGGGCACTCCGAATCCTAGTTAATTTCTGCTGCAATCACAGCTAATTCAGACAATGTAATAAAAACTCTTAGGTTGAACAAAATTATTATTTGTGAGAGGAAAAATGGCATCTTACCCCCATTAGGATACTTGTAAATAACAGACTCCTCCACAGGAGTCAAGAATATAAAATCATGTAAAATGTGTTAGCATTTGAGATCTAATGATCAAGAAATATTCTGTTTCAAATCATACTTGCAGTTAAAAATGGAATTAACTAGAATCACTTTCCAAGTAGAAAATGATGTACTGTGCACAGAAGTGAATTTAGCCAATGTGCTGGACTGGCGCTGTGCCAGTGTGGGTGGGCATTGGGTTGCAAGCTACTTTTGGACAGAGGGGCTGGAATGAGTTAGCTTGCTTCCTTTATCTATCACTGTAATAGGACAAGGCTGTTCTTCCCTCTCAGCCATATTCTACCATTCAATTAGATCACAGCTGCACTGTGCCTCAACTCCATTTACCAAATTGATTTACACGCTTCACTATCAATCTCAGCCTTGAAATGTTATGCATCCTTAAAATAATTCACTGTGGTTAAAGACTGGAACTGACAATGTTGGCGAGAGTACTGCAACTGATCAGAATTGAAATTAGACTTGGAATAACAAATGGAAAAGTGCAGCAATGTCTTTGGGACTTACTTTGTAACAATTGAAATAGATTTCAAAAAGTGCACTTTGGATTTTAAAATCATACCTCTTAAAGAAGTCAAAAAATATCATACATGAACAAGATACACGGTATAATCATAAAACTAAACATGTTATTTATGGAATTACATCAATTACTTAAACCAGCTTCTGAGTAACCTGGATGGCAGATCAAATCTTTTAGTGCAAATGTCAAAATAAGAAGGAACATATATAGTCACAATTCAACCTTTTTTTTGTAAGTGAAGACACTGAAGTTAACTTTTTCCACTCTTCTTTCAAAAGCAACACAAAGTTAACACTCTCCAAAAGACAGCCACCTGATCCCACCTTTCAGATATATACAAACCACCTCAAACTGCAGATGGATAAAGAAACATAAAATCAATCTCAAATGTACATTAAACTTTGAAAAGTCAAAACTATCACTCCCAGATATAAAGGCAAATCCCCCCAATAAATAAATAAGTTACTGCATTTTAATTATCAGTACATTAAAAAAAATTATTCTGACAATTAACGTGGGCTGCACTGTTTTGTGAGATAATGATTTTCCTTGCAAGTACCAAATACTGAGCTTTTACCACAAATACACTTTTTTTTGGTAAATTGACTAAACTAAATGCAACATTTCATGCCACATCAGGGCTGTTGTAGCAAGTGCTACGAACCTATGGGAGTCTGCAATCATGGTCTTGCTGTTGGGAAACCACATTAAACAGAGCTCAAGTACCTACCCCAACTTTACCAAGTGTTGGCTGGGTTCTTATCCTGTACTCACCACCCAGATCGATGGTATTGAAGGACCTGCAATAAAGTCACTTGATCTGGAGGAGAGTTGGGGGTTAGTAGGGATAAAATCGGAAAATATGAATGAGGTGACATAATTTAACGTCACACAAGTTTCATCTGTGAAGACAAATGATTTCTCATTGGAGGTGGGCAGGAATGCAATGCAGATTAAAACATTGTCTCTACACTCATCTCATTATTTCCCTAACAATAGAGCACAAAATTCATCTGCCCTATATTGTAATGGGCAATAACAGTAATTCAGATAATCAAGCTTCAGTACATGATGTCCTAACTAAATAAATAAGCGGACTGTTCAAGCTGTTTTCAGTTAGCATGTGGGTGAAACTCTGCAAATTCGAGTGATTAATCTGTAATGCTAAAACCTGATGATAACTGCTGCTCAGTATTTGGACTTCCAAGAGCAAAACCAAAATATTGCAAACACAGAACAGTGGCATCAAGTTACAAATACCAGAAGCGTCCCAATATAAAATCTTGCTCTTTGGAAGCGTAGCTTTCAACAAGAGATTTTGCTTTGTATGGTTAACCACTCTCCCACTGGTTAAGTGTCAATCACTCTCCACCTTCCTTGCTTTCGGATCAGAATCCATTGCATTTTGCCCCCATTGTGTCAGCGCCAACAGACCAAGGGACACAGTGACTCATTGCACTCTTTTGACAGGACTGAATAGTTTGTCCTGTTGTAATGGGCAGACTATTCCATAGATTGGTATTGTAGGTGCTTCAATATTTATAACATGAATCAAACTGTCTTGGCATGACCTAGCCAAACTCAAGCAAAAGGCCTTGCACAACTCAAAGCTTAACCAGCGCCTGTGAATGAATGCCTTCCTTTGAACTTCAGAGTCACAACATGGTCAATATCCTTTAACACTGATCCCTGACACATGAAATAGTGAAACATGCAGCAGTCCATGATAGTGCAGAAGGAGAATCAGTTTCTTTTTTAAAAAGTGAGAAAAGAAACAATTTCCTGCAAGGAAACCTTGCATTAAAAATGTAGCAGTGGCAGTCAGACTGCAGGTCCTTAAACTGGAGAACGACCTTGCCTCGGAACATCCTGCAGGCTATGTGCAGTTTTCATAAAGGCACTTAGTAGTAGTTTGGTAACTTCTTCACTCAGTAAACGTCTGTCACCAAAACACAGTATTTTAGTACTTATGTGCTAAGAAGGCCTCTGGCTGGAATGCATTTTAAAAATAAACAATTTTGCTTTAAATGTTTTGCCTTTGAATTATATAAAGCTGTCAGTTACCGAAAGGGCTAACTGGTTTGGTTCTGCAGCCTCCTGGTAGTAGTAAGGATGAAATAGTCTCTCCTGGCTGCAGATTTGCATGGCATAATATGTATGGAGTAACAGATGAGGGAAACGGAAGGTAAAATAACAAACAAATTCATCTGGGACTGAGCCCAAAGTTTCTTGCACTTCCTCTGGCAGTTCCCTATAGTGATGTTTCTGAAAAAAAAACATGCAAGGTATATAAATGCTAGATGTACAGTCAAACATTCTTATTTTGCCTATCGTCAGCCTATTTTCTAAAGTGTTAAGCCACCCATCCCAGCACCGCAAACCATGAACACAAACCAAGTCTCCTCCTGATGCATACTGGTGGAAGTGGTGCTGCAGTGGTAATGTCACTGGACAGCAAATAAGAACCCTAGGTTAATGTTTTAAGGACCTGGGTTCAAATCCCACTATGGTGAAATGTGAATTCAATAAAAACCTGGAATAAAACACAAGCCTAACACCATGAAACCACTCGGATTGTTGCAAACAGGGCTGGTTGTTGGCTAATGGGCTGGTGTAGGAGGGAGGTTTTCATTTATGTGGATAATTGGAGCACATTCTGGGGAAGGTGGGACCTGTACAGTAAGGACGGGTTGCACCTGAACCGGAAGGGCACAAATATCCGGGGTGGGGGGGTGGAGTTGGTCGAGTTATACGGGATGGTTTAAACTAGAGATTGGCAGGGGGTGGGAAACCGGATTTATAATTCAGACGATGAGGTATTCAGCCTTCCTAAAGACACAACAGGGAGTGAGGTTGTTAATAAAGAAATGTGGTCAATGGAGCATAATTGTGGACACAGGGATGGTTTGAAGTGTGTATACTTCAATGCTAGAAGTATCAGAAATAAGACGGATGAACTTAGAGCATGGGTCAGTACTTGCAACTACGATGTTGTGGCCATTACAGAAACTTGGGTAACTCAGAGACAGGAATGGTTGTTGGAAGTTCCGGGATTTAGATGGTTTAAAAGAAATAGGGAGGGTGGAAAAAAAGAGACGGGGGAGTGGCATTGCTAGTCAGGGCTATTATAGCAGCTACTGAAAGGCAGTTCGAGAATGACGTGTCTACAGTCAGTTTGGGTTGAGGTCAGGAACAAGAAAGGAGCAGTCACTTTGTTGGGGTTTTTTTTTTAAGAGACCTCCGAATAGATGCAGAGAAGTGGAGGAGCAGATTGGGAGGCAGATACTGGAAAGGTGCAGAAGTCACAGGGTTGTAGTCATGGGTGACTTCAACTTTCCAAATATTGATTGGAAACTTTTTAGTTCTAATAGTTTAGATGGAGCGGATTTTGTCCAGTGCGTTCAGGAAGGATTCCTGACACGGTACGTAGATAGACCAACACGAGGAAATAATGGATTTAGTGCTTGGCAATGAACCTGGCCAAGTGTTAGACCTGTTGGTAGGAGAGCATTTTGGTGGTAGTGATCATAACTCTGTTACTTTTACAATAGTCATGGAAAAGGATAGGTACATACAGCAGGGTAAGGTTTATAATTGGGGGAAGGGTAATTATAATTCTGTTAGGCAAGAACTGGGTAACATAAAATGGGAACAGATGCTGTCAGGAAGAGCATTATTGAAATGTGGAGATTATTTAAGGAATGCATACTGCGTGTGCTCGATATGTTTGTCCCTAGCAGGCAGGGACGATACGGTCGAGTGAGGGAGCCTTGGTTCTCAAGAGAGGTCGAACGACTGGTTAAGAGGAAGAAGGATGCTTATAAAAGGTTTAGGAAAAGAGGATCGGAAAAGGTTCTAGAGGGATACAAGTTAACCAGGAAGGAGCTGAAGAAAGGGCTTAGGAGAGCTATAATGGGGCATGGGAAAACCTTAGCAAATAGGATCAAGGAAAACTCCAAGACTTTTTACACATACATGGGGAATAAGAGAATGACCACAGAAAGGGTAGGGCCGATCAAAGATTGTAAGGGAATTTGTGCACAGAGTCTAAAGAGATAGGAGAGGTCCTCAATGAATACTTTTCTTCGGTATTCATAACTGAGAAGGACCTAGTTGTAGAGGAGGACAGTGTGAAACTGGCTGGTGGGCTAGAGGAGGTTGATGTTAGTAAGGAAGATGTACTAGGAATTTTGAAGAACTTTAAGATAGATAAGTCCCCCGGGCCTGATGGGATTTATCCAAGGATTCTATGGGAAGCAAGGGAAGAGATTGCACGGCCTTTGGCGATGATCTTTTCGTCCTCACTGTCCACAGGTATAGTGCCAGAAGACTGGACAGAGGCAAACGTCATTCCCTTGTTCAAAAAAGGGAATAGGGATAACCCCGGGAATTACAGGCCAGTTAGTTTTATTTCAGTGGTGGGCAAATTATTGGAAAACCTCTGAGAGATAGGATTTATGATCACTTGGAAAGGCACAGTTTGATTCATGATAGTCAGCATGGATTTGTGAGGGGTAGATCATGCCTCACAAACCTTATCGAATTCTTTGAAGAGGTGACCAAACACGTGGATGAAGGTAGAGCAGTGGACGTGGTATACGTGGATTTAAGTAAGGCGTTTGATAAGGCCCCCCATGGTAGGCTCATGCAGAAAGTAAGGAGGCATGGGATAGGGAGAAATGTGGCAGATTGGATTCAGAATTGGCTGACCCTTAGAAGGCAAAGGGTGGTAGTGGATGAAAAATATTCAACATGGTGCTCAGTTACAAGTGGTGTACCACAAGGATCTGTTCTGGGTCCTCTTCTATTTGTAAATGATTTGGATGTCGGAGTGGAAGGGTGGATTAGTCAGTTCACGGACAATACGAAGGTGGGTCGAGTTATTGATAGTACGGAGGGCTGTTCTAGGTTACAAAGGGACATTGATAGGATGCAGACCTGGGCTGAGAAAAGTGGCAGATGGAGTTTAACCCTGAAAAAAGTGTGAGGTGATTCATTTTGGAAGGACAAACTTGAAATCAGAATACAGGATTAACGGAAAGATTCTTGGCAGTGTGGAGGAGCAGAGGGATCTCGGGGTTCATGTCCACAGTTCCCTGAAAGCTGCCACCCAGGTGGATAGAGTTGTTAAGAAGGCGTATGGTGTGTTACCTTTCATTAATAGAGGGATTGAGTTCAAGAGCCGTGAAGTTATGCTCCAGCTATACAAAACCCTAGTTCGGCGACAACTGGAGTATTGTGTCCAGTTCTGGTTGCCTCATTACAGGAAAGATGTGGAAGCGTTAGAAAAGGTGCAGAGGAGATTTACCAGGATGTTGCCTGGAACGGAGGGAAGGTCTTACGAGGAAAGGTTGAGAGTGTTAGGGGTTTTCTCTTTGGAACGACAAAGGATGAGAGGTGACTTGATGGAGGTGTACAAAATGATCAGAGGTATAGATAAAGTGGACAGCCAGAGACTTTTTCCTAGGGTGGAGGTAGCTATTACGAGGGGGCATAGTTTTAAAGTGAGAGGAGGTAGGTATAGGGGAGACGTCAGAGGTAGGTTCTTTACTCAGAGAGTAGGGGTGTGGAATGCATTGCCGGAGACGGTAGTGGAGTCGGCCTCATTTGGGGCATTTAAGCGGCAATTAGATAGGCATATGGATGATAGTATAAGGTAGGGGTGGAGGTTAGATAGACCTTAGGTTTAGGGCAAAAGTTCGGCACAACATCGTGGGCCGAAGGGCCTGTACTGTTTTATGTTCTATGTTCTAAAAACCCATCCAGTTCACTAATGCCCTTTAGGGAAGGAATTCTGCCATGCTTACCTGTTCTGGCCTACATGTGACTTCAGACTCCAGAAATCTGGTAAACTATTTACAGCCTTTTCAGCAATTAGGGATGGGAAATAAGTGCTGGCCTGGCCAGTGACGCTCACATCCCATGAACAAATAAAAACTCAGACATTCAAAAGAACAAAATCAAATTTGATACTTGCACACACTAATAGCATCCCCCAGCAAATCATATCACAACAAAAAATATACTGTCAAATTGAGAGGCACTTTGCAAACACAGAAATGAATAAAACCTTAGGCAATTTGTCAGTCCTCACAATGAAGCAATTCCATGTTTCAATAATAACTGAAAATAAAACTGATCTGAATCTATGATGACTGAATGAATAGTCAGAAGAGGCTAGAATATGGGTTTAATTTCTACATTAATCTGTTAGTGAGAGACTAGGTGCTATTGGGATGACCAGGCATTTCACAGGAACAGAAGGGCATCATCAGGCCTCAAACTCTTGAAGGCCAGATACCAGAAGGATGAGGCTGAAGTGAGGCTGGAAGAATACTTTAAAGGCAACATTCACAAAACATTTATTAATCTCACTTACAAAACATTTCAAAGAACTGATAAATCCATTAATTATTCAATAGTGGCATATTTTATCCCAAGGTTCATGGTGTTACACATTCTTCGTTGCCGGGTTGTAAATCTGCTCGAGATCATTGCCAACTTCACTCTGTAACCAGACTGCCACCAGAAGGTAAACAAGCTGAGTTCAGGATGACTCTATTTAGTCATCTTATATACCACCCTTTATGCTGCTGACTCTGCAGTCTCTATTCCCTGGAGTTAACCTGAACTCCAAGATCAGAAATTAGGTTTGGGAATGCTAGTCACTTAGCTGAATTCCAACAAACTCTTCTGCTAATTGCCGATAAACAGGTTTATCCTTAAAAATGGAGTGATCAGTGCTTTGATTGTCACCACTTTTCGATACTTGGAAATGACACGACCTTAGAGCTAGGAGTCTGTTCTGGGGGTAGTGCCTGGATGAAATCTGAGAGAACGGGAGAGGCACGGTGAGAATATACTAAGGGAGGGTGTTTGAACTGCAGAGTTTTTTTCAAATTACAAAGACTTCAATTGGATTTTTCAGAAAATGAATCAGGCCTCAAGGATTGACCAGTAAGGCCGTGCCCATACTGAAAAATCCAAGCACCTAAAGTGGCCAAGCAGCTTCTACCTCTAAGTCAGAGCTCCATGCCAGCTATTGTAGTTAGCCAACAGTTTGGGAAGCTCTGTCCTAGGTCATTCGCTAGAGCTGTAATATGAAGAATGCTGAGTAGTCCCATTTAATGACTTCCTTTTCTTAACTCAACAGCACGAAGAAGGATTAGTTTGTAGCATTACACATTTACAGCTTGCAACAAACAGAGACAAATTACTTTTTGAGTTCTTGTGACCTTTCTCTACAACTCATTATAACAGCAGCCTGAACCTCAGCATGTCCATGGTTACTCTTTAACTCCTATCCTTTTCACGAGCAAGACTACCCACTGCCACCTCTGTAACAAGCCCATTGCTACTACGCCACCTCAGCAATTTAGTGCTGAAACATTCCCAATGACATCCCTTCCTGACTGCACTGCTCCAAGGCTCTCCAGCCAACATTCCATTTCCCATCCACAAGTTTTAGCTCATCTAAAGTTCTCAGGCCCATATCCTACCTTACACCAAGCTCTGTACTTATCTCCCCTAGTTTGCTGACCTACATTCCGCCAACTCTACAGTTCATCAAATTTGAAATTCACAAACTTGATTTTAACATTCTGCATGTTCTCATCCTTCCCCATCTGTGACCTCCTCCTGCCCTGCAACCCTCCTAGACCTTTGTGCTCCCTCATTCCAGCCTCTTTCACATTTTCAATTTCCATTCACTTGACCACATTGGCACCATGCCTTCACATGCCCAAGTCCTAGGCTCTGGAATTCTTAGGCACCATATAAATGCAAGTTATTGACATCTTACGTATTACTGGATACAGTAGAAAGGGAGAAGCTGTTTCTGCTCAAAAACGAAGTGGGCATAGTTTTAAAGTGATGGGCAAAAGAAGCAATAGTGTTGTGTGAAAAAAAACTTCTTTCACACTGAGTTCTGACGAAGGGTTCTGACCTAAAACATCAACTTTCCTGCTCCTCTGATGCTGTCTCACCTGCTGTGTTCCTCCAGCTCCACACTGTATTGACTTTTTCCGCAGTGAGTAGTTTACAGAATTGTTTTGGTGCAGGAGGCCATTCAATCCATGGTGCCTACACTGATTCTATGACGTAGTGCCAACCTCCTGTCCTTTCTACATGTCCCTGCACACAATTTCCATCTGTGCACTACTTGGAAATGGGTAGAGACAGGTTCAATGGGGACATTCAAGAGGGCACTGGTTGATTACTTGGATAGAAATAGTGTGCAAGCTTATGGGGAAAAAGCAGGAGATATGCATTTGGTAAAGAGGCACCTTTTAAAGTGTCAGTGCAGGCACAATAGGGAAAATGGCCTCCTTCTGTACCATAACAATTCTGTGACACAGCTATTTCGCAGCCAGTAGTTGATGGATGTCATTTACTAATTCATGGATTAGTTCATTCATTTTTAGAGGTTTCCTCTATTAAGGTTCTCACTGCCCCTCTCCACATGCCCAAAGAAACTGGTGCCTTGTGGAGATGGCAGGTTAACTGCAACACATCCCTGAGTAGTGACCAGGCGGGGTTACCACTGACTGTGATTACATTAACAGGTGTCGACGCTTCACCTGACTGACAGAGACCCAAATAATTCACGTGAAACATTTACAAGAATTATTAGCCATTTTATTAGAGATCAAAGTAACAAATCTTGAAACACTGGTACAATTACCTTATTCCTCATTGCTCGCAGAAGATCTCGCACTGAGCTCCCTTTATATGATCGGAATTTTCTAAGATCTGCAAAAATAAAAAAGTTACTTTGCGACAAAGCTCTTGCCTCATGCCACTGTTCTCAGCATCCTGGCCATAGGCTGGTAAACCTTATGCAGTTAAGGGAATAGAGATCATAAGACAAATGGAAACAGAGATTTAACTTATGCTGTCAGATCCTGCACGACAGATTCCAAGACTAGGATTGGGGTTATCAGATGCAGATTCATATACACAACAGCTACGTTCCAAGATATCATGGGCAAGTCCCATTCCCCACAGAAGAATAGATTCCCTTTTATAAATCAGTGGTAAGACTTCAAATGGGATAGAGTCTAATAATGTGCACCATACTCAAAAGCTGTTAAAGCCTTGAAGTGGGTAGAGCTTTATCAGAATGGCACTGGGATTAGGCCTTTTAATCATGTGAAAAGATCACAGAAGCTGGGATTGTTTTCCTCACAGCACAAAAGACTAAATGATTGAGCATCTTTATTAAAACCCTTTATAAACCCAGAGTTGAGATTGGGAATGGACTGCCTGAAATGGGAGTGACACTAGATTCAAGACCAACTTTCAAAAGGAGATTGATCAAAACCCTTAATCAAGAAGTATTTTGGGGGATATGAAGGAAGAACAGAGAAGTCTGTTGATTGGGACTGCTACTTTCAAGAACTAGAAAAAGCACAATGGGGATAAAGCTGCTTCCTTCTGTGGCATTGAATTCTATAATTCCTTTATAAAGACTGGCATGAAAATTACTAAGACAAAAAGTAGTTTGCTGTCCCACTGAATAAGCTTCATCCTCACCACACTGCCCCTACTCCAGGCTTTTGCAGGTCATGTATTCCTACATCACAAGGTGGGACAGACAGCTGATTGAATGAGAAAGAAAGGAGAACCTCTTCAGTCAAAACCACTGACCTCATTAAAATCTAGACTGATTTCAACAGTTCCACAGTCAAACAGCAACCACATACTACAGAGACTGCAACCTCACGTTTCCCAATTGGAGATGAACAAGATAAAGGTTGTGATGGCTTTCATTTAAGAATGGAGCAGCACAGCAGTTCAGCGGTTAGCACTGCAGCCTCACAGGGCCACGGACCTGGGTTTGATTCCACCCTTGGGTGACTGTGTGGAGTTTGCACGTTCTCCCGTGTCTGTGTGGGTTTCCTCCCACATTCCAAAGATCTGCAGGTTAGGTGGATTGGCCCTGCTAAATTGCCAACAGTGTCCAGGAACGTGCAAGTTCGGTGGATTTCCCACTGAAAAATGCAAGGTTATGAGGATAGAGTAGGGTCACGGGTCCAGGTGGGATCCCTTTTGAAGGGTCAGTATGAACTTGATGGGTGGAAGGGCCCGCTTCTGCACTGTAGGGATTCTATGATTAAAAAAAGCAGAAGAGAATCTGAAGGAAATGTCTGTGGATATTCACAGGAACATGAGCAGAATTTCAAGACATGCTGAGCAAGAAGTCAGATTTTAGCTGAAGGTTTAATTACAAAAGATTTGCACAAGCATGTTCTTTGCAAAACCTATTTCCTCCTCTCCTGAGTATGGTCAGGTAAAACAATAACTTCACATTATTCATTTTCTTCTGTAAAGATAAAATAAAAACTGACAGCATAATAAAAATTAACAGTAGCAAGACAATAGCAAGCCAATGAGTTTACACAACTATCGCCAATGTCACTAAAACAGGGTTAGCAGTGAGTACAGTCAGCTATTCTTAAATCACTTGAGAATGAATGAGCATAACTTCAAGTCAGCCACATGAGCTGCCCACCTGTCTGCAGAGGTACAGTGATATGTTCTTTCCAGTCACCTTGAACTACGCTTCGTCCACCTCTCTCCAGTTCTCTTACTATTGGTCCATCCAGAGGCTCCTTCTCTATTCGATCACTGACATCCTGCAATGATTAACCCAAAATTACAAGACTCTGACATGATCCCGAAGTCATGTTGTGTATCTGTTGTAACCGAAATAGAAAACTGATTTCAACAATGTACATTTCCTGCCTTTACGCACGCAATTTAAAAATTCAAAACGTTCTCTTCTCCCTGATGATTTGGTGACCACAATCACCATATTGGTGGCATTTTCATTTGTTCATGGGACTGGCGCATACATGCATGTGCACGTTTGGGGGTGGCTGATACACCCGTAGTCCACCCTTTAGGAAGGGAATTCCAGAAGTGATTTTGAACAGTTCTGAGTCAGTACGGAGTGGGGCTGGAGGGGACCCGAAACGTTAACTGTTTTCTCCTTCACAGATGCTGCCAGACCTGCTGAGCTCTTCCAGCAACTTTGTTTTTGTTCCTGATTCACAACATCTGCAGTTCTTTTGGTTTCTATATACTCAATGACCGGGAGGGAGTGGAAATAAAAACTGGCTGATATTCCAGCTCATTAAACTAATGACTATGCCCATACCCCACCCAAACGCTGGGTAAGAGCAGGTTTAAACAAAGCTCTACCACCTCTAAGCTTGAAATAAGTTTGTCCGTGACTGACCTGGATGAATACAGGAGGACAACCCGAGTTCCTGGCTTCAGGAAAGGAGAGGGCAAGAAAAAAACATTAAAGGGGAAAAGGCAAAATTAAAAACCATCTGTCTAAGGAATGATATGATGCACAATAACACTGAACAACCTTTGGATTCACACTTCCAACAGCTAATATGTAACCCTTTAAATAAAAGATTCTGCCTTAATCAATAAGCTGCTCATGGTAGAGTGGAGTCTTATTTTCAAACAGGATAGTGCAGATGTTAATTCTTGCTTTAATAGTTATTGTTGGTACCTTATGGCTAAGAACATTTTGAATAAAGAGACTTGATCATAATCATTGTGAGAGATTACTCAGCAAAGGAGTGAATCGCCAAAAACATCTATCTTTCTCAAACAGACAGGCAGGGATAAAATTTTGAAAATGCAGGGAAGGCACTCCATAAAGTAGGTACTTATCCGATGTGAGTAACTTCCTCTAAATACACTTTCTTCTCTTAATCAACAATATTAAGCATCTAACAAAGAAGGTTTAATAACAGGAATAGTTGAAGACGAAGGGAAAACAAACCTGGAAAAACTGAAGCTGTTTCTCAAGACTCCAAAAGAAAGGATTTTTCAACACACGTTTTGCAGAGGGGCGTTTCTGTGGGTCCATGTTTATCATTTCCTTAATTAAATCGTGTGCAATAATATCCGCTGGAAAGAGAGAGAAATAGGGAATAAATGATTAATGCATTAAGAAATAATCAACTTGTCTGGAACTAAAAAAGTTGCTGGAAAAGCTCAACAGGTCTGGTAGCATCTGTGAAGAGAAAACAGAGAGTTAACGTTTCGGGTCCGGTGACTCTTTCTTAGAATTGATGGCAACTAGGAAAATTTTGGTTTGTGTGCAGAAGATAAGGTAGGGGGAAGGGCTAAGGCATAAACAATTGGTGGGGATAGAGCGCAAAGAGAGAGAAGAACAGTTGGACAGAAAAAAGGTCGGTAATGATCTGGCTAAAAGGGTGTATAGCTGTTAATGGAGACTGATAAGTGCTAACAATAGGTAGTGTGTAAAAACAGACTGAGATAAAAAGGCCTGGTGTGTGGGGTAGGGGGCTAGGACATCAGAGAGTTCAGGCCCTAAAATTATTGAACTCAATATTGAGTCCGGAGGGCTACAGGGTCCTCAAGCTTGCGCTGAGCTTCACTGAAACACCACAGCGGGGAACACGTTGGCGTGTTAACATGGCAGGCAACTGGGAGCTCAGGGTCATTTTTGTGGGCAGAATGTACATATTCTGCAAAGCCGTCACCCAATCTACGCTTTGTTTCCCCAACGTAGAGGAGACCACGTTGTGAGCAGCGAATGCAGTAGACTAGATTGTGAGAAGTGCAGGTAAAGTGCTGGTTCACCTGGAACATATGTTTAGGCCCTTGGATACGGAGGACGGCGGTGGTAAATGGGCAGGTGTTACACCTACTGCGGTTGCAGAGGAAGGTGCCATGGGACTGTGGGGGGTGTTGGGAGTGAAGGAAGAGTGGACAAGAGTGTCCCAGGGGTAGGGAGGGGAGGGGAATGTGTGTCTGGTGGTAGGATCTCGCTGGAGGTGGCGGAAATGGTGACTGATGATCTTCTAGATGTGGATACTGGTGGGATGGTAGGCAAGGGCAAGGGGAACCCTACTGCTGTCGCAAGAGGGAAAAGAGGGGTGAGGGCGGAAGTGTGGGCAAAGGGTCAGACCCGGTTGAAGGCCCTGTCAAAAACGGTGCTGGGGAAGCCTCGGCTGAGAAAGACGGTGAACATTTCAAAAGGCCCCTTGTCAAAGTTGGCCTCATCAGAACATATGTGACGGAGACGGAGAAACTGGGAGAATGGAACACAGTCTTTACAGGAAGCAAGGTATGAGGATGTATAGTCCAGGTAGCTGTGGGAGTCAGTGGGTTTATAGTGTATATTAGTGACCAGTTTATCCCCAGAAATGCAAACAGATGTCGAGGAAGGGAAGGGAGGAGTCAGAGATAGATCAGGTGAAAATGAGGGCAGGGTGGAAATTGCAAGCAAAAAATTGACGGACTTTTCCAATACTGGATGAGACAGGGAAGCAGCTCCAATGATACCATCAGTACATCGGAGAAACAGTTATGGAAGGCGTCTGGAACAAGGACTGGAACAAGGACTGGAACAAGGACTGGAACAAGG